TAACCAACTGAGCTAACCAGTCAGCCCTCTCATGATTTTTTAAAAACTCTCAGCAAAGTAGGATTAGAATATAATTTTAGTAATTTTATAAAAGGTATCTACAAAAATAAAACTCTCTTTATTCACAGATGATATGATTGTACACCTAAAAAATCAAAATAAATCCACAGATAACTTATGGAATTAATAAGTAAATTTAGTAAAAGTTTTTTGATATAGAGTCAATATTTTAAAAATAAATTTTATTCCTATGTACCAAAGAAAACTATTATAAATGAATTTAAAACATGATGCTATTTCCAGTGCATAAAAATCAAATCTAGGAATAAATTTAAACAGATATATGCAATACTTTGATGGAAAACTAAAAATATGGTTGAAGGAAATTAAAGGAGACCCAAATAGCTGGATAGATATACCCAGTGGTGAGCTGGAGTCAGGTCATATTATCTCGTGAGAGCTGACCATGCACATCTCTTCCCAAGTCCATGTTCAGGGATGTCACACTGGGATCTTGGAAGTGACCACAGTGGGAATGTTTACACCACAGGAATCAGCAAACACTACCACATCAGGGCTCTCTCCCACCCTCAGTAGTCAGTCTTTAAACATTTACCAGCACACTACTGAGTATACTATATTCATGGATTGGAAGACTCATTAATAGATGTTGTCAAGGAATAATGCAGAGGTATTAGTTATCGACATGCTCAGATGAGGAACAATAGGCAATAGACTGCTGTCAGTGAACAAAGGCAGAAACAGGATTATAACTAACAGGGGAGAAGAAACGGCTGCCTGGGAACAGTGAATCTTGTTCACATAGTTTTGGGGTAGTGAAGAGGCCAGTTGGGCAATCTGTCTCTAAGCAGGATGAAAAGGTTATCAAAACAACTTCAGGGTTTTAAGAACGAATTTTCCAGAAACTTGCAAAGTTAACTGTGAAGTGTATGTGGCAAACTTTGTCATTCAGCATCCTCTGGTAGTACCTCTATTTTAGTTAGGCCAGGCCTGCACCATTTCCCACATCAAAATTTCTCAACTCTCCCCATTTTGGTTAAAAGTTCCTAAAGGAGAGGGTTTAACCATAAGGGCTTTAGTCTCTGAAGCAGAATCATTATTAGATGTTGGTTTGATATCAGCTGTATGGCAGCATTTAAATGTCAAACAATGAAGGAGAGCAAAATATACTAGGGCAATTACAAATATTATAAGAAATATCTGAAACCTGTTTTGTATCCACTTTTTTTGGCAGGTCTAATCAAGAGAATATGTCTTAAGGATCAGTTAGGTCAATCTTAGTTAAGTAATTGGTTTTTTTCCCCTTGATTAATTAATTATTTCATCTTTTTCAAAATGTGTATCCAGGTACTATAAAATAAATTAAATATTGTATAGACTGTATTTTGTTCGTCAGTGTCTGAGGGCACATCTACTACTTAGGATCATTCTAGATTATGAGGTATATTAATCTAACCCAAAATGAGTTATTTCATTTAATGTCAATATTCACTTTCTTCTAAAATTACCATAGATTTGTCCAATGGGAGCCTTACAAGTTGTCTCCTGTGTTCTTTTGACATGACCCAGCGTTTTTTTGAGCACTTCCTTACATTGTGGCATTACAAGATGCTCCAGGCTCATCTTGTGCTTTCTTTGTCCCAGTTCTAGACAAGAAGCTCTGGTTCTTTTTAGAAACCAAGGAGGATGGTGTTTAGAAACCAAGATCTACTGGGTTATCATTGCTTCTAGGTTCTTTTAACAGAGAGAGCTGGAAGAAAATGGCAATTTCATAGACTCAACCATATATGTGCATATGGATGTGTACAAGTATACATGCATATATACATGTACATACATATTTAAATGCCTAAAACTGGAGGGAAAAAGTAGAATGCTATTTGGAGACATGGAAGAAAATACCAAAATAATCAGGTAAAGGAGGAAAAATTGTTTGCCTTTGGGGAATGGGAAACGGCATGGTGAGAGCCAGGGGAAGACGGTTAGGATTTCTATTTTCAAAACCATGTAGGAATTTCTGGCTTTTAAACTATGCGGCTGTCCAGCTTTGATGAAAATAACTAAAAAACAAAACAAAACAAAAAAACCCTGGCTTTCCACAAAAAGAAACACCAGGCCCAGATCATTTTACAAGTGTATACTACCACACATTCAAGCTAATCCCTATTTTATATAAAATATTTCAGACATTAGAAAAAGAGGGAATGTACCCTCATTATTAGGTACTGAGCTTAATTACCTTGACACCAAATAAAAAACATAAGCCATTCTTGCTTAAGAACATAGGTGCAGAAATACTAGGTAAAAAACCAGCAAAGCAAATTAAGCAGGAAGAAACTAACAAACACACACGCATACACATAGGAGCAAACTATGTATAACCCAGGAATGCAAGGAATGTCTTCACAGCGGGCCTTGAGTTGGCAGTTGGCTACCCTGATCCTATCATTTTTTCTTCCAAGGCTTCCAGTGCTGTTAAGGAAAGCAAGCCCATGCCACAATCCTTATAATTATCACCGTCCCAGACCTTGCAGCCACCACAGCTACCACATGTTTTGCTGCCTGACCTTCCACCTGTACCTCATTTCAGGTGACCACTAGTGAAACCCTTAGTAATTGTGACAACACTGTAAAAGGGTCCTCATATCCTGCTTCTCACCAGCTAGAGTTATTATTGCCACCAGACTGGTGAGTAAGCCAACTCGAGAATTGCATCCTAAGAGTCTGCTATTTAGGGACCCTTCTGATACGAACTCTCGTAACCTAAGTTCCCCATAAAGCAGAGCCTGAGATGGTGAGATTATGTGCTATCAGTTACAATTCCAGTGAGGAAGGAGGGAAAGGGGATGGAAGGAGGGAGAGCCAATATGAGAATGTATTATCAAGCTGACTGTCATGACATGCAATTGATTGTTTCATCTTATGGGACATCCCCTAAGAAGTCCTATAAACTGCTGGCTCCTGCCTTTTATCTTGTGTGGCTGGGAGCAAGGCTGTCTTGAGGCGCTCCTCAGCTGATATGAGGAGCAGCTGCTGCCAGGAACACCTCAATCTGCAATGACAGCGGTGGCTGCAACTGGCTCCATGACCAAGGGAACAGCAGTGTGACTAAGAGAACAGCACATGAACTTGCTAGGACTAGTCCATGCGTGTATTCAAACCTGAAGATACAAAACTGTGTTCAGTATCCTTGCCTTATGGAAAATAATTTAACCCCTACCTCATTCCATAAAGTAAAGATCTCAAGATAAAAAAGCAAAAGTTTTAGAAGAAAATATAGGAAATATGGAAAGATTTATTGAAACTGAAGCACACACTATAAAAGGATGATAAATTTTATATTAAAGTTTTGGAAACTATACATCAAAAGATAATGCAAGTTTATAAACTTGGAGATGTTTATTACATACACCTTATAGAGAATTAGTATCCAGAATATGTAAAGACTCCTACAAATCAATAAGGAAAAGACAAACTACACAATGGCAAATGGTGAAACAATAGACAGACAACTCAAAGAAGAAATCCAAATGGCAAATAAATGTGAAAAGATGCTCATCGTAATTAATAACAGAAATTAAAATTAAAACCATTACATGGGTGTATTAGTCCACTTCTGTGGCTTATAACAAAATACTTGAAACTGGGTGATTTATAAACAAAAAAATATTTATTACTTACAGTTTCTGAGGATGGGAAGTCCAAAGTCCATCTGGTGGTGGCAACAATGACCCGGGGGTCTCACGTTGTAAGATGGTGGAAGCAGAGAGAGCAAACAACCTCTTCATTCACTCTCCTTTTAAAGCCCTCAGAACCACGCCCCTGACCACCATTATTAATCCATTCACTACTACACAGTCCTACAATCTAATCACCTTTTCAAGGCCCACCTTTCAATTACCATAATAGGATTTCCCACCCTCTTCACAGTCACAGTGGGGGCCAAGTTTCTAATACATAAAACTTGGGGGACACAATTCAAGCTTCAGGGAGTTTGAAGGGGACATTCAATCCACTACAGTGGGTCTCTTCAAACTTGGGCCCTATTCACAGATAGATTTGGTACAATATGTTGTGTTGGCTAAAATGGACTTAAATGCTGATTTAGGAATACATGTCCATGAATAAAAGTATAAAGACATACTTCAAATTTATGTAGATGTCATCTGATGGGTGTGGGCTGGCAGAAAGCTTCAACTGTATTTGTAATGTTTTATTTCTTAAGGTGGGTGATGGAAAGATGTGTTTTGTCATGTTATAATTTATACATTTCTTCTACTACAATATTTCACAAAATAGAAGCAAAAGATGTGTACATGTATGGAGTGCTGTTGGAGGATTAGTTCCAGGCCATGCCCTTAGGGGTCTCCCAGTCTGGGTCAGCAAGAGGGGAAGGTAGGGTTTAATAGGGGGATGGATGGGTTGAGTGTTGGAAAGAGGCCCTGTTACAACCCTGGTATACAGGTGCCCATAACACCCCTTGGGTGGGCCTATGGGAAGAAGTGACTCAGAGAGTTATGTGGGGAAGAAGACCATAAGAGGCAAAGTGGGCAAAAATTGGAGCCAGACATCCTGGGCTCAAATCTTAACACTGCTGCTTACCAGCTACAGTGCCGCTTGGAACTTCAGCTGTAAAACAGAGACCGTTCCTGCTTTTCCTGGTTGTTGTGAGGTTGAGGAGGCAGGGAGCAGAAGCTCAATAAAATAGTAATTATATTAAACAACAGGACAAAGAATAGGTCGGATCTATTCCTGCCTTCATTTTTACCTTGTGTTTAATTTTTCACTGTGGAAACTTCCTGAAACAAACAAAAGTAGATAGATTAGCATAACAAATCCCCATGTATCCATCGCCCAGCTTCTACAATTACTAACGTGTGCAAGCTTCCCTCTTCCCATATTATTTAAAGTAAGTCCCGGACATCATATCATCTTGTCCATAAATGTTGCTAACAGAGATCACCGTTACCTTTGCACAGATGGTAATTGCGCTGCAGAACACCACCACCAGCAGCCGCTACGTGCGGGTCCTGCCACCCTCGACTCCATACTTTGCCCTGGGACTGGGTAAGTTCAGTACAGGAGTTGTCCAGACTACCTCCAAAGTATTTGCTGGGCTTGCTGCCAGTGCCTGGCCCACCTGGCCCTCAGATGACTCCCTCAGCAGTCCACGGGACCCCACACGCTGAGCTGGGAGCCTCCCCAACCTCCTCCTGGTGGGGTCTCAGCATCTTGACAGCTCCCTTCTCCCAGTCACCTCCATCCAGGCACTGGTTCTACCATCTCTCGCCACCATTGCCTTCATCAGACCTTCCCAGTAGCCTCCCAGCCAGCCTGTCCACTTCAGCGTCACAGTGCTTGTCTCAATGACACTGCTGCTGTCACCCCACTCAGAAGTCTCAAAGGGCTCTCTGCTGCCCAGGGAATTAATTCTAAGCCACAGGGCCAGGCATGGCCCCACATGGCCTTTCCAGATGGACCACAGCACTCCCCCTGGAGCCCTGGCATTTTTACCTGGAGTCCACGCCCCCTCTGCCTGCTCCGCTACCATGCCCTGGTGGTTCTGCCATCAGCCTGGCCTTGGCCCAGACAGCATTTGCACGTGGAGCTAGCCCCAGCTGGGCCAGTGTCTGTAGCCTCTGGTTCCTGATCCTCATTTGTCACTTTTGTCATAACAGGGATGTTCCCAGGGAAAGGTGGCATGGTGGCTCCTGGAATGACCTGCCAGTACATTGTCCAGTTTTCTCCTGACTGCCTTGGGGATTTTGATGACTTTATCTTAGTTGAGACGCAGTCAGCCCACACGCTTCTGATTCCACTGCAGGCCCAGAGGCCACCTCCAGTGCTGACGTGTGAGTGTGTGCTGTACCTACCCGGGGACTCCGTAGGGGCTTTAGGGTCCCCATGAGGACTGCCTGCTTCTCAGAAACCCTTTGTTGCAGCACTCAGCTTGCTTCTCTTGGGCAGGAGCTTCTGGGTCCGTAGGAGGGACCTACAAGCAGCTTCCGCCCAGTCTTCCACAGTGTCAGGCCATGCTTGTCCTGCTGGCTTTGGGGAGTTCCCAGTGGTGGCTGACTCACAGCAGGGTGCAGGCCAGCCACCCAATAACCCCAGCATAGGTTTTGGTGGCTTTCAAGCACCCCTAAGTGGGCCTGTGCCACACCGAGGCAGGAAGAAATGCCAGGGCACCTGAGGACCCTCAGAGGGTGTTGTCCCTGTGGCTGTGGGAGTGACCCTCCTTAGAAAAGCTGGCTTCTGCTGGTCTCCCTCAGTTATGAGCTTCCTCAGCTGGGCACAGGCTAGAAGTTAGGACTCTGATCCCTCCTCTCACTCTGCCATAACCCCCAGGCCCATGCTTGGTGGCCTGGCTGAGGCATGAGCCCGCAGTGCACGCTGACTCCTGCTGCTCTAGGCAGGAGTGGATGGAGTCCCGGGGCACTACAGCAGCCTGGGCGGAGCCCAAGTGGTGCAGGGTCAGGGCGTGTCGCCAGTCATCCTCCCTGTTCAGGGTGCTGGGCTGGGGCTCCCAGCCCCCTCCACAGCTGCACTGAGTTCTGGCTGGACCTCAGGAGAACAAGGACAGAAGGGCCCATTCAAAGTGATGTATTGTTTCTCTTGTGCATCGTTTTCTGTGGCTGCAGTGTCGCCAGTGTTGGACTGTGGTTATTGCCTCATTGGGGGAGTAAAGGTGACCAGATTCATCTGCAAAAATGTGGGCTTCAGTGTTGGAAAGTTCTGCATTATGCCCAAAAAGAGCTGGCCGCCACCAAGTTTCAGGGTGAGTGATCACAGATTGCTACCTGGAAAAAGAGCAAATCTAGCAAAGGATAAAACCCCCTGGAGGGACTTGATAGAGTGGGCCTATGCTTGGAAACACACTGAAAACAGACTGTTGTAATCTCTCTAGCCAGCTGCCACAATCCAGATGGACATGAATGTGTATGGAGACCTGTGCTGTAGTTCTGGTTATGCCACTAGCACCTGCATGACCCTGGGCAGACACTATCAAGGCCTGGCTCAGATGTTACTGCACCCACTCCTCAATTGTCATTGTTGCAGCAGATGTCTGACTATATCAGAGACCACAAATTGGCAGCTCTTTGGCTGAATTCTGCTGGTATTTATTTGGCACAGTGTTTAAAAACATTTTTTGAACCAACATTTAAAAATAGAGAGGTTTTATGTAAAAATCTGCATTTCCAGTCTTTTTGAAAAATGGGAAGATGTGCAGCCCTGGACCGGGATTTACTGTGACCCTGCTGGCCGTGCACTCAGTCCTGTTTGGCCGGCCCCTCCTCTCCCCAGAGCAGTCCAGCACCGACACCATCAGGCCTCGTGCTCACACTGTTACTGTTCTCATACTTGTAGTAGAGGTATTTCTCTGTACCCGTAAGTCCAGAAAACAGTGATAGGTCCAGAGGACCACAGTTCAAAGAAACACATGTCACCATTCCTGGGACTTGCCAGGGTCCTGTAGGCATGGGTTTGTGTCCTGGCACAAGGCTTCCTCTGTAGGCCACTGGAGCTGCAGCTCTGCTAACAAGATGGCAGCCACCCTCATGACTCAGGAGGTCACAGCCAGGGGAGGGTCGGGGAGGGAGGCAGACGTGTCCACTGGCACCACCAACACCAGGTGCTGTAGTAGGGAGAGGACGATGTGCTTTGGGAGCCCAGGGGAGGGCCTTCTCAGCCCATTTCCTGGGTGAGGCCTTCTCCCACAACTCCTACTTTGTGTCCAAAGCACTTGGCAATGGTGTTCCTTGTTCTTCTTGCTGGCAGTCAGCTCTTTATAAATGTTCTATGACTCACTCATCCATCTTTAACCTGCAAAACCTCACCTGGCGCCTGGTGCCTGGTGAAGGTTGAGTAAATGCTTTCTATATAAATCAGCCTGTTTCTTCATTAACATGGGACTGGATGATCCTTAGATTGCAAAGTAGGTGGTTGGAGGAGAGAAGTTTGTAATGTGGGTGCTGGATTGAACAATGAGTTCCACACCATTGTATAATCTGCTTTTCTTTAAGGCTGTTGCAACCATTGGCTTTGTGGAGCAACCTCCCTTTGGAATCCTGCCTTCAGTGTTTGAGCTGGCCCCAGGGTATGCCATAATCATGGAGGTAGGTACTTAGGCGTAGGCATGTATTTTCTCCTTGTGATTGGTCATGGCTATTTCCTCTACTGCTTGCATGGTTTCATTTGCCTGTGTTTTCGTGAACCAAATGCCCACGCCTATCCCCAGGCCCCAGCCTTAGTGGTTTCTGGGTAGGTACATGTTCTTGCACTCTGCAGGGTGATATCATTTGAGTGCCTAATGACCTCTCACACAAAGCAAATGCATACAACCCTAGTATTTCTGTCATGACCCCTGAGCATCGCTTGTCCACACTATTAGCCTGGGAGTCACCTCCACCAACATCTAAGCTGCCTCCACGATTTTCCCTGGTTCTTCAGTTTCTCTTGGACCTTCCCTCCTCCCACCCTACCACTGTCTGGTACTTGGGTTATGATAGTGGCTTTGTTTTCACTTTCCTGTTTGATCCTCAGTTTATATAGTCAGCACGACCTGCCTTCTTAGGTCTTATTCTGAACCTCTGCAGACATTCCCAGAAGTCTGACTCCCTGGCTGGAGCCTTCTTTCCTCACTAGCCCCTTTCAGCATTCCCTTCAGCTCATCACACCTGCTCGCTGGTCCCCAGAAGTGCCTGTGAGAAATGGTGATGTTTCTGGCCCCTGTTGCTACCCACTGCACCCTCCCCAACTCCCTGGTGCAGGAGTCTGACATTGTGCTGTCAATTGATTGGGTGTGGAGGCTCCGCACACATGCTTGGACTTCCTCACCAGCCTGTTGCGGGAGGCACCCCTGGTTCAGAAGTAAAATCTGTCTGGTTTCTGGGGGTGGAGTTGGCCTGCACCATGTCATCAGGTAGTGAGAGCCAGGAGCCATCGGCTTTTAAATTCAGCTGCACATTGCAGTCACATGAGAAACACGGGAACACACTGATGCTGGGCCCCCCACTGAGGTTCTAAGTTCATTGGTCTGGGGCGTGACCTGGGCACATGACTCTTAAAGCTCCCAGCTTATGTGTACATGTAGCAAAGTTTGAGGACTGTAAGCTTCCTGCTGCAATCTTTGTTTTGATGTGAAGAAGGGCTTCCTTTTATTGACTGCTTGCCAGTGTCAGGACCTAATGGGGTCTTGTTCTGGAGCCCTAGGACATAGCTCTCTTGTTCATGTCCGTGCTGATGTGATCCCCAGTGAGAACCTGGTTCTCGGGGCTGGGATTAGGCCAATTCAGGGGTAAAGTAGGGCTTCATCAGTCCTGTCTGCTTCAGCGAGGGGAGGAGGTCTACAAGGCTCACACACAGGCCAGGCTCTCTGTCCTCTTGGTATAGTCCAGGCCTTGTAAGAGCCTTGTCATGGCTTTAAGGCATTGGGACTGGTTTCCCCTGAGCTTCCGCCTCATCTCTTCCAAAGAAAGGAAGAGGGTAGCAGCAGGATTCTTTGAGGAGCAGGGGAGGTTTATCCCTTTTGCGTGCCTTATGTATTTTGTTTATTGGTTGTTTGGAACTTTATTTGAAAATTTATTCATATTTCCAAATAAGAAATAAATTCACGTGATTAAAAATTTGAAAGATGCAAATAGGTAAATAGTGAAATGCTCCCTTTCACCCCAGTTCCTCAGGCACTGAAAGGCTCACCTTACCAGTTTTCTGAATGCCCTTCCATAAATATTCCATGCACATGGTTTTTGTTTCCATTTTTTTCTTCACACAAAGAGTTGCCCACTCTGTACTCTGTTTGGTGCTATGTATTTTCCATCTAACACCATATCTTAGAGGTTATTCTCATATTTTTTGCAACTGTGTAGTATTGCACTGTGTGAATAAACCATAATTTAGTTCAGCAGTCTCCTACATGAAGGTTTTTTCTGATCTCTGGCTATTTCAGCAAATAATTTATACATACATCACTGTGTTCAAGTTTGAATCTACCCATAGGTTACAGCCCTTGAAGTGAATTTGCTGATTCAGGGTCTATGCTTTCAAAATTGTTATACATGTTGCCAAAATCCTCACCATATGGATTGTGCCAATTTATACTTCCAACAGCAATATGTAAGAGTGCCTGTTTCCTTGCCCCTTGCCAATACAGTATGTTATTAAATCTTAAAAAAAAACCCTATAATTTATACTTCCAACAGCAATATGTAAGAGTGCCTGTTTCCTTGCCCCTTGCCAATACAGTGTGTTATTAAATCTTAAAAAAAAAAACCTAATATCATGGACATTTTAAGTATATACAAAAGTAGAGAGAATAGTTTAATGATCGTCCATGTATTCATTGCTCAGCTTCCACAATATCAACTCTTGGCCAATCTTATTGCATCTATACCCCTCCATCTTTCTCAACCAATCCCTACCCTGCCCCTCTATTTTGAAGAAAATCAAGACATAATATCATTGCACTTATCACAGTGAAATTAAACCCGTATCTCACACCATATAGAAAAATCAACTCAAAATGGATTAAAGACTTAAGTGGAAGGACCTGAAACTATAAAACTACTAGAAGAAAACATGGGGGAAATGCTCTGTGACATTGGTCTAGACGATGATTTTTTGGATATGACCCCAAAAGTACCAGCAACAAAAGCAAAAATAGATAAAACAGACAAATATCAAACTAAAAAGATTCTGCACAGCAAAGGAAACAATCAACAAAGTGAAGAGACGATCTATGGAATGGGAGAAAATGTTTACAAATCATGTATCTGAAAAAGGGTTAATATCCAAAATGTATAAGCAATTCAAACAACTCAATAGCAAGAAAACAAATAATCTGATTTTTAAAATGGACAAAGGACCCAAATAGACATTTCTTACAAGAAGACATACAAATGGCCAAGAGGTATATGAAAAAATGCTCAATGTCACTAGTCACCACAGAAATGCTAATCAAAACCACCATGAGATATCTCTTCACACCTGCTGGAATATCTACTATCAAAAAGATGCAAGATGACAAATGTAGGTGAAGAGGTGGAGAAAAGGGGCTTCTGGTCAAGATGGTCCCCAGCTTAGATGGTCCCCAGTGTCACTGTCTCCCACAAATCAACCAATTTACAACTATTAAAAAGCATTGGCAGTTAAGCTGGGGCCACTAGAGCTCAGGGGAAGAGGAGGAGAGACCTATGGAATTCATGAAGGCAGGAGAAGCCATGATGACAGAAAGACTCACTCCCACCATTTTGGGATTGAAAATCCCAAAGCCCTGGATGCATTAAGGCTGGCCCTGGTGAGCACACAGAGCAAGAGCTGGCAAAAGCTGTAGCTGTGCCCTTCCTATGAAGTTGCTTGGAGGCGGCAGGGGAGAAGAGGGCCTTGGTGGCC